TTTGAACTGCTAACTTTGTGGTTTGAAGTTCAGTGCTGATCCTACACCACCACACCAGGAGTCCAAATCCTTATTATAGCCTATTAGGGAAAGTGTATTTGTTTACATATTAGAAAACAGACACAGGGAAACTAAAAACTTGCTCAAAGTCATGCAGCTGGTGGGTGGCATTACAAGGTAAAAGAAGATAACTACGAGGATAAGTCAGGAAGTATTGCTACTAGGGTTCCAGATCATTTCTGTACCAGTTTATTCCAACAGAACATGTTTAAACATCTCTCTGATGGTTGTGTGGCAGATTACTAGCTAACCACAAGCACAGTGGCATCATAGGTTTAGTGGTTTGAGCCTGCCAGCTGTTCTGTGGGAGAAATATGAAGCTTTCTGTTCCCATGAAGACATACAGCCTTGGAAACCCTATCTACAGGATCACTAACTATGAGTTGGAACCAACTCCACGGCACTTAATAACAACAACAGCTACAATCAATGGATTGTGGTTAAGTGCCTTGGAAACCTGTATAGAGTTTCCAAGGAACAACTGTTGGGTTTGAACTGCCGACATTGTGGTTTGTAGTCAAGTGCTGATCCTGCAATGCCACAACAGGATTGCTATATAAATACATGTGTCTTAAGTCTGTTTTTTTTTTTTAAAGAAAGTTCCATTTTTTTTTTTTTTTTAAAGAAAGTTCCAAACAAAACAGATCTACTGGGTTGTTAGATTCTAGGCAAAGAAATCAGCTCAGAAGGTTATAACTATTTCTTTGGGATCCCAAAAAGGAATCTTGATAGATTTTCTCCAAGGATACAGGATGATCACAGAGGGTTCTTAGAAGTTTTAGGGATATTGAAAACTGCATTCGTGAGGAAAAAAAAAAAAAGTGTTGCACTGGGGAATTTTTTTTCCCTATCACAATGCATCTGCTCATTCTTAGAGGATAGCAAGGATTGTTCTATGAGAATTTAATTGGGGATCCTTATCTCAAGTGCCTTACCTCTCTGATCTGGCCCGTTCAGAGAACTTTCCCCCTAACTCAAAGAACACTGAAATGGAATATGATTTGAGTCCCTCAAGGATGCCCTGTCATTGTGATGTGATGTACATTAGAGTGCAAAATGCATCATCTTCAGAAGTGTACAGGACCTAGATGCAGGATTAGCCGACAAGCAATAGCTTTACGTTTTGATGTTTTTGTTTAATAAAAGTTTCTATAATTTTGTAGAAACATTTTTTACTTACCTTCACTCTTCCTATCATCATCATCAGGAGGTTTACAATCTTAGTTTTATTCAAAGAGGAAGAAAGAAGTCAGGAAAACCACCACCAAGGCGGCCTTAGCAGAGGTTAGGTTAAAGAAAGAGTCTTAAAACTTTTAGTTAATTTTTATTTTGATAATTGTAGATTCATATGCAGTATAAGAAATAATGCCAAGAGAGTCCATGAGCCCTATCACATGCTTTCCTCCAATGTTATCTTGCAACACAATCTTGTATATCTTATATTATTGTGTACAATATAACAACCATGTTAGGATGCAGGTGCCACCCTCGGATCTTATTCAGACTTAACCAGATTTACTTGTACTCATTTGTTAATTTTACTTGTATTCATTTTATTATGTGTAGGTTCATACACCCACCATGATAGTTAACATACAGAGCCATTCTCTTACCACGGGGACACCTTTTATAGCTGTATCCACCTCGATCACACTTCTCCTTCTAGCTCCCAAATACCTGGAAACCATTTCTAAAATGGTGTCATTTCAATGTTGTTATTTTATGTATTGTTCGCAAATGGTTTTAACGGAGTATAATTTCCTGAATATTCATGCCAGTTTTTGTAGCAATATTTCATCCCTTTCTTATTGTGGAGTACCTTTCCATGTTATGGATCTAATACATTTGGTTTAACCACTCATCTGCTGAAAAGTATCTGGGCTGCTTCCAGTTTTTCATTTTATAAATCAAGCTGTTCATTTTTGTGAACATATTTTCATTTCTCTGTGATAAAACAGTACAACAGGTGGGCTGTATGGTAATTGCATCTTTTGTTTTATAGAAACTATTTTCTAGAGGGCT